GGGAGAGTCCTCGGTCTGCATCCTGCGGCCTCCCCGAACACACTGAGGCGTGGCTGCCCACAGTCCAGGATGGCTGAGACTGAGGTGGGAAAAGCAGGAAGACTGCGGGGAGTGCTCCCCCCACCTCATGGAGAATAGATAAATAAAATCTAAAATAAATAAGAGCAAGAACCTTGGAGTTGAGCTGCCTCAGCTCCTAATCTGACTCCGTCACTCAAGAGCTGGGTGGCCCGCATGAAATTAGGCTGTGTGTGTCTCTGGTCATCCTGTGTAAAGTGGGGATAGTGTTACCTGGCCCACGGTTGTGACAAGGACTGAAAGCGATGACACAAGTTGGGGCCTGCCGGGGCTGGGCACAGGGCAAGCAGTCCGCTCTTTAATGTTCCCTGTGGCTGAGAAACCTCCCTGTGCTTCAGCCACGCGCTGCCACCTTCTCACCAGGCCACCTGCGGCCCTCTGCTATTGGTCTAAATTGACTTCCTGTATGCGTGCTTCAAGTATTGTTTTGTTTTGTTTTAGATGCTTTTGCCATAGGTGCATGCACTCACCAGGGAGACAGAGACAGTGAGAGGGAAAGTGAGAATCACCCCTCAGGGGGGGATGGCCATGCCATAGTCCCTTCTCCTCCATTCTCCTTCTGGGATTTTGGGTACACATGCGCATGCATGCACACGCGGTGATTTTCAAGCCACCAGGTCCCAGACTCAAACCTTCATCAGCCACGTGGGAGTCCAGTGATGCAACAACGATGTCACCTGCTGGCCCCAGTAATTGTATATTTTTTTAAATTATAGTTTTATGAGATGTTTCACACGGGATAGCAGGTGGTGGAGTGGTTAAGGTGCTGCACTCCCACATGGCCAGCCACAGTTTGAATCCCGGACCTGGTGGCTTTCTCTCTCTATCACCCCCACGAACACATGTGTCTTATAACAAATTAAAAATAACAATAATGATAGGGACCAGCAGGTGGCATGGTATAGACACTGGACTCCCACATGGCCGACTATGGTTTGAGTGCTGGACCTGGCGACTTACTTTCTCACTTTTTCTCTCTCTTTCTCTCTGTCTTTCTGGCGAGTGCCTGTATAATGATTTAAAAACAACGATGATAATACTTAAATAAATAAATGAGTAAAATAATTATTTTGAAAAATAATAATGATAATAAATAAATTTTTAAAAAGGAGATATGTTTCACACAACATGAAATGCAACTATTTACAGTGGGGTGTGCAGTGGTTTTAAGCATCCTCACTGTTGAGTAAAACATCGCCACAATTGCAAAGACACTGCCGTAGCGTCTTCACAATCTGAGGTCAGAATCGTTTTCCCACTATCCCCAACGGGTACTCTGGACCCACCACTCTCATCTCCGCCACCACATTCATAACATTTTCCACATTTCTCCCCAAGGAACTCCATACCAAGTTACTCCCTTGTCATCCACCTGCCCGTCCCTAACGACCACCATGAACTTGCCTCATCTGGGCATTTCATGTAAATGACCCAGGGGAAAAATCATTCTACATGTGTGCTTTTATGTCTGACTTCTTCGTCTTCCTTTTTTAAAAAAATTATTTATTTTTATTGTTAGGGTGTGTGTGCTCACCAGACACGGAGAGAGGGAAAGTGAGAAATCATCGCCCATGGGGGATGGCTAGGCTGCAACCCCTTCTTCTCCATTCTCCTCCAGGGATTTTGGGCACATTCACACAGAGGCCCAGTAAGATTTTCAAGCCACTAGGTCTGGGACTCGAACCATGGTTGATCATGTGGGAGTCTAGCGCCTTGACCACCATGCCACAAGATGGCCTCTGTGCCTGCATTCTTTTAAACCTGAGCATGGAGTTTGCAAGGGTCACCCCTGTTGTCATACGAGCCTTATTATTTTCACTGTGAGCAGCATCCATAGTTTGGATCCAGCACTTGCTGTGAACCCATTCATCAGCAGACGGACGGATGGGTGGTTCTCACTTTTTGGCTATTAGGAATATCGCCGATAGCTGGATTTTCACGTATGGATCTCCTTTTTTTTTTTTTTTTTGCTATAGGGTGCGTGCACTCACCAGACAGAGACAGAAAGCGAGAAATCAACCCCCAGGGGGATGGCCACGCCACCCACAATCCCTTCTCCGTTCTCCTCTCAGGATCTTGGGCACGCATGCGCACATTCCCTGCGTGAGTTTTAAGCCACCGGGCCCGAGACGCAAACTGCGGTCAACTACATGGGAGTCCAGCGACATGGTCATTACGCTAACTGCTGGTCCCTGGATCTTCTTTCTCAGGTCTCATCTCCTGCTCTGTCCTTTTCTCCTCCCACTCTTGATCCCGTCTGCTTTTTACGCTCTGACTATCCCCAGGATTGCCTTTGTCAGACCCTCCCATCCTCTCCTCCAGTCCTGGCCTGCTGCCCACACTGTTCCTTCTTCTGGGAGCCCTCCCCTTCACCACCTGTGACACCCCCGCCCCCAGGATCTAGCTTGACAGTCACCTCCACTGGGAAGCCTCCCCAGATCTCTGTACCCCACAGCACATCATCCAGGGTTATAGCATTATTTTATAAAATTTTACCGAAGGGCGTGTGTGCTCACCAGAGAGAGAGAAAGAGGAAGCACCCCCATGGGGCATGGGAACACTGTACATCCCTTCCCCCCATCTCTTCCTCCTTCCAGGATGGGGCACTGCACATGTGCCAGACAGGTCTCTCCAGCCACTGCTCTAGGGCTTGAACCACACGCCTGGCCATGTGGGATCCAGCTGTCTCAACCACCAGGCCATGGGCTGGCCCACCCCAGGACTGCCCTGTTCTGAGAGCACGGACTGCATCTTGCCTGTCGTGTGTCCCAGGCAGGGCCGGCAGTGTCTGGTGCACAGCAAATAGTGTGAGTGTGAATGCAACTTCTCCCCTTTCTGCTGGACTCTCCTTGCACTGACAGGGCTTTTGTGGTCACCTGCTGTCACAGAGATGGCGGCTGAGGCTTTGTGAAGTAACACTGCCTTGTCTCACTCTCCTCCTCTGATGGCTCACAGACACCTAAAATACCAACTCAGCGAACGCGGGGTACTGGCCTTTTGCCACCACTCAGCTCCCCTAGCACCTCGCTTTTTAATCAAGCCATAATAATAACGGCCCCGAACACAGGGTCATTTACACGGCCCTCCTCTGTCATGCTTTTTCTTTCACTCAAGGCTGGGCTGTTGAGTGGAAATGTGGTTCTTTACCGATGGACGGAGATTCCGGGGCTAATGGAATTTACACTGGCCTGTCCCATGCCGCCTTCAGACTGCCAGCAAAAGCCTTTACAGCCTGGGCTGAAATGAACGCCCACGAGGCTGAGGGCCTGAGCACACAGTAGTTTTTCTTGGCAGCTGCTGATCCCAAGAAGCAGGGATCCAAGCAATATCAACGACCTCACAGAGGCCTAGGTGCAGCCTCCGCTGCGCGGCTCTGGTCTGCCTGTGATGTGAGACGGTCTTGGGGTGGGGAGAGAAGCCGAAGCGGTCTCATTTACTAATGGTCTTTGGTCAGCATGGAAGCAAAAGCACAGGCCCCTGGGAGCCTCCTTCAGGGTTGGATTCAGCCCTCCTTGGCCTATTTCAAGCCACAAATGAGGCTTTTCTTCTTTTATGGGGAAAGGGCGGCACACAGCCAAGTCCCCGGGGCCTCTTAAATTGTCCCTTCCCATTACAGTAACTCCAGGCTAATGTGGCCAGGAAACCTCCCCCAGTCAAAAGCAATTACGGGCCTGGGAGGCCACGGAGGCTGCCCTTGCCCATGTAGGTCTCTGACTCGCCGAGTCTGCTTGGCCAGCATTACTGAGTGCCCACTACAAGCTAAGTGTTTATTCAGGGCCCTCCCAGTCAGTCCCAGGCCGAGTAAGTGCCCTCTTCACTAGCACTCGAGTGGGGGAGCCCACTCCCAGCACAGCCAACTCTAATGGGCCATGAGATTCTTTCCTGGAGCTGGACGAGGGGAGGGCAGAGCAGCCAGGCCTGGGTCTGAGGCTCAGGTCTGCTGGGAGCAGTGGTGGGGACTTGGGTCACCCACTCCACCTTGCTAAGCCCGTGCCAGTCTATAAGGCAGGGCTGATGGCTACCTGACCGGTCAGTTGGAAGGGTCCAATGAGACAGAGGACAGTGTGGTTTTCAGAGTGGGGTGTTCAGACCAGGCGAGCAGCAGAACTTGGGGTTCTATTAGACATATGAATTCTCTTGTGGTCAGGGGACTAAGGTGGAGTGCAATGGTGGTATGGGTCAGTGGGAGGTTGAGTCTGCAGTACCGCCCTGCATGTGCTGGGGGTGCCCGTGGCCTGGGTTGTGTGGGACTGGGGATGGAGTCCTGCATGGGGTCCTCCTGGGGGTCTTTGGGTGCCTGTCTCTGTTTCTCTCATGGAAAAAAATGAGTGAATACACTGAATATATTTAACATGTTTTAAAAATTTGTCAAAGGGGGGCCAGCAGGTAGTGTGGTGGTTAAAGGCACTGGAATCCCATATGGCCGACAGCAGTTCAAGTCCCAGACCTGGTTGATTGCTTTCTCACTTGCTCGCTCTCTTGTTCTGTCCCTCTCTAGTTAAATTAAAATAAGTAAATAAAGTTAAATAAACAAACAAAAAATAATTCTGTAAAAAATTTGTCAAAGGAAAACTTTAGGGAAGGGAAATGCGAATTCTCATGCCTATGGAAGTGGAAACTCCAGCGGCAGGCCCAGGAATCAGCATTTTAACATGTTGCGTGTGATGTAACAAAGCGTGCCACCTCCCCAGGGGACTCCGATACCTGACTCAGCACCGGGGCTCCGCCTTGGCCACTCCGTAGGATTGCGGGCGAGAGGAGGTCTGGGATGGCAATGCCGGGGCCCTGCCTGGAGCTCCTGATTAACCGCCTGGCACAAGGCCTGGTCACTGGGACTGTTTAGAGCTCCCTGGGGTTCTACTGGGTAGACGGGATTGAGAACAGCTGGCCTTGCACAGAGCTAGCGCTCAAGAAGTGGGAGCTGCTCTCATTATTCCCATAAAGAAAGGGTATCTGGGGGCCAGCAGGTGGCATAGTGGTTGAGGGGGTTAAACCACATGGCCGACCACAGTTTGAGTCCTGGACCTGGTGATCTGAACATCACGCCGGGCCTGTGTGCACGCATGCCCAAATTCCCAAGAAAAGAAAGGAGAAGGGACTGTGGCATGGCCATCTGCCATGAAGAGTGATTTCTCACTTTCCCTCTCACTGTCTCTCTGGGGAGTGGACATTCCCATCGCAAAAACTTGAAAAAATAAAAAGAAGAAGAAAAATCATATTAATGATCAAATAAAAAGCTGCTGTGACCCTCGATAGAGTCACATAAGCTAAAACCCACTGTGACTGACATCAACCTCACCCACACAGGAGACGTGGTAATGTCCGGCTTTTGGCAAAGAAGCCTTCCTTTCCCGTTTGTTAGATTCAGACTAATGGAAAATGACATGCAGGCGCCAGCAGGTGGCGTGGTAGTTAAGGTGCTAGATTCCACATTCCTGGATCTGGTAGCCTGAAAACCACGCTGGGTGTGTGTGCGTGCACAAAATCCCAAGAAGAGATGGAGAAGGGAGTGCAGCATGGCCATTTCACCCTGGGGAGTGATTTCTCATGTTCCCTCTCTCTCAGCCTGTCCTGCAAGTACATGAGCCCTGTGGGAAAAAAAATCATTAAAAAAAAAAAAGGCGCTGGAACCAGCAGTTGGTGTAGTGGCTATGTCGCTGGACTCCCACGTAGTCGACCGCAGTTGAGTCCCAGACCTGGTGGCTTCAGCAAAAGCCTCTCCAAAAGAAAAAAAAAGGCACTGGGCTCCCTGAAAGCCCCCATTTCTGGTCAGGCTGGGCTCAGCCACAGTGCCGGGACTTCATACATGCGGTTTTCACTGCTTGGAATGTTCTAATCCCCCTTTGTGAGCCCTCAGGTCCTTTGACATTCCAACTTCTCGTAGCCTGGGGTGTTTCGGCTCCCAACAGCTCACCCAGGAGGCCCCCCAGAACTCCCTGGTCTGCTACACTGGCTACCCCTTCCTCGCTCACGTGCCGACTGAAGACTATACCTGACTAATTACTCAGTCACTCGCATCGGCGAGTCCTGGGAGAGGATGCCGTTGCTCCTGGTGACCAAGCCCTAGCACAGCACCAGGCAGAGGGCACTCAGGGAATTCTGTAGGGGTGAGGGGAGAGGAAGGGGCCGCGGGTGCAGGAGCAGGACAGCTCCCCCACATGGCTAGCTCTGTGCTGTTTCCTGGCGTCTCAGGACACGCCAGGGCTCACCTGAAAGATGGGGTACTTCACGTAGCCGATCTCTATGCAGGCGCTGTCGTTGGTCGGCTTGCTGGAGAGGAGCGCTTTGAACCTGAACAAGACACAAGAAGGGAGACAAGAGGCCTCACCCACACGACCGCGGCAGGCCCAAACAGCTCTCCCGATAGCAGACATAGCTTGTACCTCCTCCCCAACTCTGGAACACAGCAGTGATACATCTGTGGGTTTTTTTTTTTTTTAAAAGAAATTTTTGGCATAAGGGGTGG